AATAATTTTTTTCTTAGTTATGTATTTTTTTTTGCAGCTAAACATGAAAAGTTAAAGAGTTTGGAATAAGTAAAATTCTTAAAATCAACTCATATTTACAATATATAGGTACGTTTCGAAAGGTTTATGAAAAATTTATTTATATTTATTCTTTTCTATAAGTGTTTATGAAAGTGTTTGAATAAATTTATAAAATATTTTATGAGTAGTCTATAAGATATTTTAAATTTATTTTGATAATTTCTCTAATATAATTTATTATTTAATTTATATCAAATTTTATTGGAAAATATTCAAATTCAAATTTTGTCACTCATATAAGTAGTTTTATTTTATTTTTATTTTTTCACTAAAATCTAGTTTTATATATTTTTCATTATTCCTTCCAAAGATTTCCGTTTCCCTTTCAAAAGTTTTTGGTTCTCTTTATTTTTTTCTTCTCTTCTTGTCCAATTTTTTTTTAATTTTTTTTATATCTTTCTCTCAAAAATTTATTTTCCTATTACAATAAAAAATTGAATTTATTTTTTCTCTTTCTAAAATATCACATATAAGATAATATTGTTTTTAATATTTATACAATATATAATTTTTGAAAATATATGTTAGGATTTTATTTTTAAAAATTTATGGTTTTTAATTTTAAATCATGGTTATATATAATTGATTTCTCATATCATATTATAAATTTTACTCTTTTATAAGCTAAAATTAGGTGAATCATTGTTATATTTTTATTTTTTAATATTATTTTAATGTATAATATCATTTTTAAAATTTTTTTAGTTATTTTTTATTTTTTTTTATTTTCAGAAAAAATTTAATTTGAAAGTTTTTAATTTTTAAAGTCATATATAACATTTATAAATGTTTAAATAATGATACTTTCAAACACTTTAAAAATTTAATAATACTTATTAACATGTATATTCAAATACAAAAAATTATTAAATTTTAAACACTTATAATATAAATTTTTAATGAATAAAATTTATTAAATAAAGTTTTAAAATATTTGTCCAAACAGACTCAGAAAATCATTACAAAGTATCAATTTTTACATGACTTTTTATTACACTTTCTCTTTCAAAAGATAATAACTAATATACTCAACTATAATATGAATTACCAAGCTTATTTTTATAATAATTAATTATAATTATAAAATTTATGTTTGACTCTTATAATATACAAAATAACGTATTATTATATCATCATGTATCTTTAATACTTTATTTTTTACATTTTATTTTAATATTTTTAAAATTTTCATAAAATATTACTGATATTATATATTAATCTATTTACCTTTAAATTATAAATTCAAAACATTATATAGAAAAATGAAAATTTTTATATTTATATTTTGAAGAGTTTGTTTTATTCAGTTTGTTATATTTTAAGACATTTACAAAAAAAAATCTAAAAAAATATTGATTTAATGGTCTATAAAATAGTACTCGAGTCAGTTTTTTTTTTAAAAACAGTATTTTACAATCTATATAAAAAACAAATATTAATCATTAGTGTAATTTTTTATTACAAATCTTAGACCACTAAACTTTGATTTTATTGTTAAGTCCTAAGCACCTCAATCAAGAATGTAGAGTGAAAAATATATATGGTTTATAAAAAAAATTAAAAGAAAAGTCAATAAATTATTTGTTATTAAAGAAAAAGTTGAACGACCATCTCATTAATTAATGAAAACTGTTTAAGATATGCTTCATAGATCAACCCTTGAAAATTAAATTCTCAACTGTTCTTGAATGTTCCATTGCCAAGATTTCTGAATGCATAAAACAGACAGAAACATGCTAAACCCAATCAAATTTCGCTTAGATTTTGGGACAAAGCAAGATAAGATATGTTCAAGTTAGGTAGCAAAATTAATAAAATATTGGAGGATGGTAGTTGATCTTTTTGCCAAACTCAACTCTCTGAGTGGTTTTTTTTTTTTTTGGTGGCATTTACTTGTTTCATACTTGTAATATTGTGTCGTGTGTATAATATATTATATTTTCTTTCATAGTTCATACCATAAGATGGATAACTATCATTTGGCTGGTTTCAAGAATCTTTCAAGAAATGGGTGGGACCAAGCTAATTTATATATACTTAATACATTTTTTTTATTTTCCATATGATTTCATGGTTTGATTATTTATATAATAATACCATTCTCCGCATATTATACCCAATAAGAGAGGCATCATAAGAACATTTGAAAGAATTTTCCAAGTCTTCTCATATACTTAAATTATGTTAGCCAAATTTAGATGACAAAGATTATGACCGAGAATCTATCATTTTTACTTGTGCATTAACGTGAGATTGCAAGTCATAATTAAAGCTTTGCATCATTTTCTATTCTAGAATGATATAATATAATTTCATCTCAAAAGATATACTCCTTCAAATACAGGTTATTCAAAGTAATGTGAATTACTAAATTGTGAATACTTTTCTCACTGAGAATTTGAACCATGATTTATTACATTAAAGGAAGTAGTTCCTTATAGTGAACCCCATTAGAAATTATAGTGGGATTTAAGCACTATGTATTTCTATTATTTAAAAATAAAAATAATAAAATGATTGATTTGTTGAAGATTTATGTGACGTAAAAAAAATAAAAATTAGGTTAAATTAGTTTTTAGTTTCTATAATTTTTCTTACTTTATATTTTAATTACTATAATTTAAAATATACCTTTTTATAGTTCCTATTATAATATATTTTTAATATTTTTCAATCTTTATTGTTTAACATAGATCTTTAGTGTAAAAATGTATATTTATAATATTTTAATTCTTTAAGTTTTTATCATTAATTTTTTTGTAATATTATTTAATTTTTTGTATTAACATGAAAATAATATTCAACTTTGTAATTCTGACATCGAATTTATTTTATTAAACTTTAAATTAAGTCTTTTGATACTTCGTATTTTTGTTTTACCCTGACATTAGATATTTTTTTTATCTTTACAAAATTAAATATCTCAACCATACCCCAACCATGTAAATACAAGAAAGACAATGTTAAAATAAAGTAATAAAAAAATTAAAAAAATGTATAATAACCAAAAATTTATATCTTAATTTATAGAAACTAAAAAAATTAATAAATATAAATATTGAAATTAAAAATACATATTTTAAATTATAAGGACTAAAATGTAAAGTAAGGAAAATTATATGAAGACAAAAAAAAAAACAAAAATTAAATAAAAAATAGTAAAAAAGAAGGATAATGAGAAAAAGTAGTTTGCAAACAATAATAAAAAAACATTAGTTGAAAAATTTATATACACAAAAACACATATTATTACTTTTATAAATTGTTATAATTTAGTGATAGTTGCAACTTCATATCCAATATGATATGATATGATTTTGATAAAATAAAAATACAATTTTGAAATGATGCTAATAAATAATTCAACTAATCATGATAGGCTATTATATAATAAATCTTTGGAGTTATTGTTAAAACTTGAGGATGAAACATGAGCGTGTGGGCTCCTTGGTTCTGCAAGATTCTTCTCTATTATTTTGTTTTGAGAGTGACTGTTTTGTCATGCACCTTCCAACAAGATAAACATTCAAACCGTGTTCGTCTATTCCGTAAGAGAAAGGCGAACTTGTTACACGATCATCACACTCATGACAGGGCTTAGCTAAATGGATAAACTTTATACTAAATATATACCATAAGGGGTTTTGCATAATATACTATATAGTCATTGAACTCAAACACTTATACTAACAACTACCACTATTCGCATAATGTTGTAAAATAAGAAGATATTTTATAATAATAAACGTTAAATAACTAAGCTCTAAATTTGACTGAGATAATAGAATATTGATAAAATTTCTAAAGAGAAGGTTGAATCAGGTGACTCAGTTGACTGGTTGGTGCTAGGTCAGTGGGTGAATTCACTAAGTTACTTTCTTTACTTTTCACATTAAACACGACATTGAATTAAGCTAATTAAATTCATTGGATACCAATGCTTCAGGTCTACAGTGATGATGCAAATATAGGAGAAAGTATGCACAAGAGCACGAGAATATTATTCTCATGTGATTCTTCTATTTCTTGTTATAATGTGCTACATGAAAATTGTACTCCAAATAGAAATCGATAAATTACTTTTCATTCCCAATAAATTCCTCTTTCCCTAACCCGCATAAGTATTTTAAGATAATCTTAATTTGAAGACATTGTCAACTTCAGTTATAACATGTCACATGTCATTAAATTAAACCTAGACAACAACCCTCATACTCGATGATAGAGTACCTTATAGACAAAGAAACAAGACAATTTCATAATAAAAAATTGATTTCTCTGGATCCGACTTCATGTATCTGTATGTTGAAGGGCACATTTTGCTAACTCAACAAATGAATGAACTTAGAACACAACATTATCAAAATAAGGAGGTCCCAATTTGTATTTATTTATTTATTTATTATATATACACCTAGTGCTATATTACTTTATTTGCATGGTTAGGACTATACCATACCACCTATTAAGACCACATTTAAGAAAATTATTTCAAAGAAAATATTTTCCTATATTTCAAAAGCACTCTCACAAAACTGAAATATAAAAAAAAAAATATATATATATATTAAAGTTCAACATATCGAATGTTCGTCATATTTAGGGTTTATATCAACTTATTTTAAAAAAATAATTATATATATATATAATTAATTTTAATATCAAATAATTCGTTGGTCTAAATGAAACTAGATTCAATTTTTATAAATAAGATTTCGAATTTAAAAATTATGAACATAAAAAAAACATAATTGACACTAAAGACTTTATTAAAAATACAAATGAAAAATAATGATTAATAAATTAATAAATATTTCACATCAATAATATAATTAAAAAATTAAATTTTAATAAAAACTAGGTGTATTTTGACACCATTGCAATCGGTGCAAGATTTAAAATATGAACCATGCAAGCAATTAAGTCCGAAATCTATCTATAACACTAGACATCCCATCCAAGATGTTGGAGTAATTTCTCCATAAGCACTACATTATTCTCATGGGTGAAAAGAAAAGAATGATGAGAGCATCATGTAAAAACAGTTCCTTCAAAATTTCAAAAGCCTCTCTTCATGCATAGATCCATCCTCTGCAAAATTCTTGGTGAGAAAATTGTTTATACAACACCTTTTATGCATGCATGTTTGTGAATGTGAGTGTTGCATTGCAGCTATAACTCCGATTTTACATCATCATCTATGAGATTGTCACCTTCAGTTCGGGATGTCCCTTCACCAGATTGTGTAGCTAACTGAAGAGGGCCTTGAGGAGAATCAGAACTGGTGCCCTTGAAGAAGTCACTTTGCCTCCACAATCCTCCAACAGAAGTTGCACCTGTAGCAAGTGGACCTCTCCGAATATGAAGTCGGAATTTCTGCAACCATAGATTAATTAATTTCCAATCAAACATTACCCTTGAAAACTATGCAATATGGAATAACCTTAACTCACTTGCAAATGACTCTTTACTTCATCATTGGTCAGGCCATCAACCCTCATCATTTCCCTAATTTGCTTTGGAGTGGCTACTGCAATTCAAAAGTATAACCCAGAGATTTAAATTAGACAATTATGAACCAAACAAGAGATAACATGATCATGATTTGTTAAATCAGTGTTTGTTAAGAACTTTCAGTGTGACTGACATAATATGATATCCAATGAAATATGTAAAATTTCCTGTCTGTCTCTAGACTCATCCTAACTTCACCTAATTCACGACTTCAACATGCATCAAGCAGATAAATTATTTTCATATCCACACAAAAACTTCCAGCATCAAATCCTCAACTTCTAACACCAGCACACATTTTTGGCACATTCAATTCAACCATATAATAATCCATCAATCAAGATGCTAGGTTTGATAAAGGCCCTATTCTAAGATGCAAAATAATTGCACTACTAGCTATTGAAATTCATGTCCCAGTACCAATTGATGTTACGTTAATATGCACATGATCATAAGTTCAAACACTATTGCTGTCAATAATAAAAATATTAATTTCCAACCTTCAGAACCTCCAAGCTCCTGTAAAGCCTTAACAAAGCAGTTATGCAACTCCGGCGACCAGCACCTCCTTTGTTTCCGGGCACTTTGCAGCTGAGGCGGCGGCGGCGGTGGCGGTGAAGGAGTGGAGGAAACCACCCTGCAAGAGATGCTTCTGGAATCAGATCCCTCCATTGTGTTATTCACTGCAGTTCCAGGTGTCTGAAGAGAAAGTCCATTGACAACACAATCTTCCTTATCTTCCTTTGTTGCAATGTATGTAGAAAAAGGCATAACAAAGCCACTCCCTCCATTTCCATTTCCATTTCCATTTCCACAATATTGGAACAAGTCCTTGGCCACAGGTTGTCTTTCTTCTCCATCATTCTGCCATGATCAAATAACAAAAAACAAACAAAAAAAATGTAAATTCATTATTTTTATAGCACCTAACAAAATAAACACTCCTCCTGTTTATTCAATAGTACCTTGTTTTCTAGTATATAGTGTTGTCTTTTGTCACAGTCATATGCATTTTTATTATTATTATTATTATTATTATCATTACTGTTCCAAAGCTGAAAAGAACTCATCCAATTCCTCTTATCCCTGCATTCCTTCTCCTTCTCAATTTCCTCCATCTGATCACACCTTTTCTTCAGGGGAATGAACTCTTCCAACACTGGTTCAGTCCTCTGCTCCCTGCATTTTGCTGATTCCCCCTTCAAAGCTGAAATTGCTGCAAACACAGAAACAAATACTGTGCATTAGCCCATTGAACACCTCAATTTTCAACTAAACTTCAAACCTGAATTTTATCTTTTTCTCTTTTATTTTACAAAATCCCGAGACAATTCTACTTGAATCAGATAAGAACGATATGGCTCAAGTATTCAACAAAATTATATATTCATAACTCAAACTTAAGACCACTAATAAACCGAAAACAACTTTATGTCGGTCCATGGTTTTATCATCCCAAACAACCTCAACCCATTTGCCTAAAGTCTAAACCATAGAAAAAACATGTTTTTATTTTTATTATAAGAGTAAATAAAAGCGAACCATCATTTAAGAGGAATATGCAGAGAGGAAGTTCGCGTTTGAATGCTTGAATCTTGGCCAATTCAAGTTCCAATCTGTGGACAAAGTCATCGAGCAAGGACTTCTTGTGAGATGCATTTGGGGTGGTGGAAAGGTGGCAGAGAAAATCAGTGATGGTTTTTGGAACAAAAGTGGGTCTCAAATCTAGGCTTAGTTCTGCAGGAACAGAACCCATGTTGGTGTCACAGAGTTACTAGGATGACAAAAGGGTCTTTTGCTTTTGTGACTTGCAGTTGGGAAGGACTTATTCTTTTTTTGTCATTCCTCTTTTGGAGTCAAAAAGTGAAGAAGGAATGAGAAACAGAGAGACAAGTGAAATAGTGAGGTGATACAAATAGACAATTTATAGGTGGAGGGATTCATGGCTTTGCTTGTTTAGACTTTGGATTGGAATGCAAGAGGAGGGTGATGGTGATTTCAGAATCTGAGTTGTTTGAGGAATTTCAAATTAAATCAAATGAATAAATATATTGTTTTTATATTTTTTTTTTTTATGAATACGTTCATCATGAGTAGATAATCTAGAACGATGTAGTTTGATAATCAAAAATTAATTTATATTTATGAATAACGAATTTTTGTTCATCAAACATATTTTTAACATTTATATGTTAAACATCTTTCTTAATTTATATAAATCAACATTTCGTTGCACTTCTATCACCTTTTGTTAAACTGCTACATTTACTATTCTATATTAAAATGAGGTTATTATTGACTGATTTTTCATGACACAAACAAATTTTACGTGAGTGATTTTTAGTGACTATTAAAATGTTAGATTATAAATGATTTTTTTATTTATTGAAAAACTAGTATTTATAATCGGTACAAATTTTAAAGAGATCGATAAGATCAAAAGAATCATTGTATTTAATCGTTATATCCACTCATGACACTTAAACAAATTTCATGATCTATCTTTCAACTTTTTTTATTGGCCCGTTAGAAACACTCAAAAAAAATTTCGAACAACCATCACATTTAGGTCTACATATGTGCAAATATTTTGGTATTTTATTAAAAAGATAAATTTTCTATATTTATATTACAAAAAATATATAAAAATAATATCACAAATGTACGAAGGGACTTAAATCTCAATCGATGGATTAAATGTGGATTCTTAGAATAAAAATGGTTAACGTCCAAAAGATAAAATAATCCTCATAGTTGGATGTACATGACGATAAATATTTTATTAGTTTTTTTAAGAAATAAATTTCATATATTTATACTATAAAGTATTAATAAAAATATCACAAGTGATTTTATGAGGATATTGTTGAAAAATATAGATATATAGATAATGATAAAATATCAAAATAAATCTTTTAACTTATTATTACATTAAAATGTTATTTTAATTTAATACATATAAAAAAACAGACGCAACTCTTACAAGTACATAAGTCAACATACTTGTTATTTAATAAAATTTTGGAGTGAGAAGCTTAAATTTTAATAATCAAAATTTCAATAATTAACATCTAAAAGCTCAAATAATTAAGAAAATGTTAGAATATAAATGATTTTTGTGAAAAGTTAATAACTTTATTAATTGTACAAAATTTGAAGAGTTTAGTAAAATCAAAAGCATCAATGTATCTAAGCGTTGTTAAATGTCAACCTTCCCCATTAGGTCTCTTTGAAACTACACCCAATCATGACACTCCAACAATTTTCTTGATTTGTCTTTCAACTTCTTCACCTAGTGTATGAAACGCTCAAACATGTAAGTCCACATAAGCACAGATGTTTTGGTAATTTTTTTTTAAAGATAAAATTTCTATATTTATTCTACAAAACGTAAATAAAAAATAATATCACAAATGTATGAACGGACTTAATTAAATTTAAATAATTCAAATTTTGAGTGAATTAAATGTGGGTTCTTAGTCAAAATGTTTAACGTTCAAAATATTAAGGACATGTTTGGATAAATTTCTCTAGAAATACATCTAAGAGAAAAAAAAATACGAAAGAAATTGAATTAAACTCTTTCTCATAAGCTAAAACCCGCTTATGCATAAGTTAAAATTAAGATTTTGGTGAAGCTAGTAAAAGAGGGTTTCTACAAATTATCTATGCATAAGTTGTGGAGAAAATAAAGACACTAGAAGGGGTTGAATAATGTTAATAAAAAAACTTAACACTTTCTTCAAAACATTGAAGTAGTAATGTAAGTCTTAGGAATGTAGATGATGCAAAAAGACCAAGAACACAAGTTGTTTTTATATTAGTTCATCTCATCCATCGAGACTACGTCCATGTAGAAAAATAAAGACACTAGAAAAGGGTTGAATACTGTCAATAAAAAAACTCAATACTTTTTGAAACAGTAAATTAGTATCTTAAACCTTACAGAGTGTAAACAAAGAGACAAGAACAAAGAACACAAGGTTTTTTTTATATGATTGGTTCTTCTCAACCATCGAGACTACGTCTAGTTCTTGATCAAGTTGATCATGTTCTACTATCTTTGCAAAGATACAAGTATTTTTTCACAGGTCGCTTCTGGCTCAACCTAAGTATCTTTTTACTTGCCTTTTCAAGCAACTATTCAAGTATTCTTTGAATAGAAAAACCTCCTCAGACTTCAACAACCAAGTATTCTTTACAAAAAAAAAACCTCTTTAGACTTCAACAACTAAGTATTGTAACAGCCCATTTTCGTGGGCCAAAGGCCCAATTCATGGCCCGGAACGGGCCGTTTCAAAATTGAAACGGGCCGTTCCGGAATAGGATGAATGCCTAAAATTGTAGTGGCAGAACGGGCCGTTCCAATTGGAGAACGGGCCGTTCTGGTTTGGAGAACGGGTCGTTCTGCAAGCAAAACGGGTCGTTCTGCTGGGTTTGAGAATGGGCCGTTCTGGTTTTAGAACGGGCTGTTCCAGTTGAGAAATTTATGTAGGTTTGAAGGGCCCAGAAAAAGTTGTTAAGATGCCTATTACTGTAAAGCTGTGTTGTTGAGTTGTAAGCTGATTAAGCTGTGATGATAAGTTGTTGATCACTAGGGCTAGGGGAGATGTTTTCGAAGTTGCTCATCCCATCGTGTGGATTGAGATAGTTGTGGTGCTCTGAGAGCCCAATTTGTTGAAAAACCCTCCTTGGGAAGTTGTCCCTTGGAGTGGTCGTTGTGTTGTTCTCCTCTAGGACTTAGTTGATCCCGTGTGTGGGCAAGGTCGAGGCACACGTGTACAATGCGACCACGGTATAGGGGCAAGGTCGAGCTATACCGATTATTCCCCGCCCCCGCCCCCGATTTTATCAATCGGGGAAAACTCGAACCCGAACCCGAACCCGATAAACACGGGTTTTCCCCATCCAAATCGGGGCGGGTTCGGGCGGTTACCCACGGGGGCGGGTTAGATTGCCATGCCTAAAAGGGACCACGGTATAGGGGTCAGGTCGACCTATATCTATTACAAGTGGCCAATTTGAGTAAAGTACGAAGTCGGGAACTTAGTTCCTAATTGAGTACTATACTTCCTTGTTTAAGTGGTAAAGTTTGAGAAACCCTTATCGTGTTGTGGATTGATATCCAAATGTGTTGTGTGGTCAGGACCTAGCCACTTAGACTACTTACCATGTTGTAGGAGATCTCCGAGTCAAAATGCGTGACGATGCATAAGTTGTTAATTAGTTGATTTGTTGTTCAGCAGGAATGTAAATCTTGTCATAATGCCAAACATGGACTACTCAAGAGTCAAGAAAGATTATGCGTGCTATTGCTTGGCCATTACTCAAAAGTAACACAATATACTGCTCAAGTAAAACGTTAAATGAGTTGGTGCAACTGCATCAGTGTCAAATTAGCAAAGGTAGGTCTTTACATTTTTTGGGGATTGATGGGGGTAAAAAGCTAGTCCAAGAGTGCCTTAATTAGGTTTGGTAGTTGAAATATTGGTACTTTGACATATAAATCTTTGGACGTGATGACATCATGATACAAAAAAGGAATAACATCGTGTGTCTACATCAAACTGAATAGGTTAGAGATAAAGAGAAAGAGCCTAGCATTATAAGAGTTAAACTTTGGTACACAACACATGTAAACTTAAAGAAAAGAATGACATAGGTATTATTGTGGACAAGGTTTATAAATAAAGTGCATTGAATGTAAAAAGGACTAGAGAAAAATTTATCTTTAAAATTAACTAGTATTATAGCATATGCGTAGCAAAGAATAAATATATATTTTTCTATAATTAAAATTCATAAAACTAAATATCTTTGAATAAATAAAATATTTTTTATTTATAATGAGAAATTTAAATTGTGACAAGAAAAAATTATTTTTAACTATTAACAATTTCTTTTTAAAATATTAAAATTTAATTTAGTGATATAGATAAAAAAAAATGATAGATTAAATGGAATAGGTGGCTGAAAAATCAAATATAGTAAAAGGAGAGTAATTCATCTAAAGTGTCAACAGTTGATTTATGGGTATGCTCTGATATTGTGACATCGGGGCAGAGAATTTCTAGGACATGAATTGTATTTGTATACGGAGTTGAACCTATTATTTTGAAAACATTTTGTAACCTCTTATGTTTTATTTTCCAAGTTTCATTTTCAGAATATTTTGGATATTGAAGAATGTTTCTAAAGGTTTTATGTGAACCCTTTTACCTATTTTGAAAATTTGATTTCCTTAGTTTATCTATATTATTCCAATATATGTGTTGGGGTAGTAAGTGTGTCACAAGTATTCTTTACAACAAAGCCTCTTCAAGCTTCAAGCTATAACATAAAGTTAAAGTTGGATAATAACAATTGTTTAATTTTACTTAGAAGACATGATTAGGGATGGAAAATAAACCCGCCGTACCCGTGGGTAATACCCAAACCCGTCCCGACTTTGACGGGGAATACCCGGTTTGACCGGGTACGGGTACGGGTATGGGTAAAACTCGAAATATTAAACCGGGGACGGGGATGGGGACGGGTATATACTTACCCGCCCCGTCCCCGTCCCCGTCCCCATCTCCATCCCCGTCCCCGGTTTCATACCCGTACCCGATTTCATTTTAAACTTTTTTAACATTTATAAAGTTAAGACATAAGAGTCTTGCGACTCTGTTGCCCCTGGCCATAAACATTTGGGAATTTATTTCTTTTAGCTAGGGTTAAAAGTGATGAGTTGAGACTCTACTCTCAAGCCCCGCAGCCACAGCCCGCAGTGTCGCACCAGCCCGCACGCACCACTCCATCTCAAATCAGTGTGATTCTTCGAGACTCTCATGGAATTGCTGAGGTGAAGAGTGTCACCCGAAGCAAGATTCTCTGTATATTGAAGGCTCACGGTATGGTGTTTCCCCTTTTGTTTGGTTATATAATTTTTTGGGATGAGTTCGTTCACCTGCACAAAGCTCATGTGTGTGTGCCGTGTTTAATGGATCACTAACCATTGTTACGTAATTGACT